GCCTTTTCCACAAACTCCTTCAGCTTAAACTATTCAGTATGCCAAGGTGCCATATTTTGGCACCTAAAATCATGCTATGGCTTATTTTCTAGCTAGGTCTTATTTTCAGGGAACAGGGTAGTGTATTATGTAACAAAACATGTGTAGCTGTGTACAGAGACTGTAGCAGAGACCTTGCGTGCTTTGTTGCACACTTTATACCCAGTAACAACAAAGTTCCAGAACAAAACATATGTTGGGATGAATTAACAAATTAATTTGATTAAAATCACATATAAGGCATTGAATGGCTATGGAAGTATAAACAAAACAAGTGATGTCCTCAAGAATATTACATTCTTCGTATAAAAGTACATGGTATGTCCAAAAGTACAGAAGGTTTAAACTCCATATCTCAAATTCTGTATGAAACTTTTAAGCACAGAATGTACAAATCTCTACATATTGAATTTTCACATCACAAACCCTAGTAAATATCAGCACACCGGCTTAGCACAAATGAATCAACTCGTGATTTTAAGTAACATAAATTTCTTGTGAACAATGTCTGTTTCAGAAAAGGATGCAGCTGTAGAATGACACGAAAGGAGACCTGAACAAATGGAAAGGCATATCATGCTCTTCCACAAAAAGATTCAACATTAAACCATGTCAATTCTTCCTCTGTTGAGCTCTACATGTTCAGCAACATTAACAAAAAGACTAACTTTTTTAACTAGACAAGCTAGCTATAAATGTCAAATGGAAAAAATATAAGCGAGCAAATAAAAAAAGGGGGGAAGATTCTGAAACAGAAGAGTGCGACAGGATGAGAAGTCCTACTAGACATTAAACATGGTTGTTTTAAACTTCAGTAATTAAAAGAGACTGGGGCTGGTTGCGAGCATACTCAGATCTCCGGAGCAGAATAGGAAGCCTAGAAACTAGTGCAATGACAAAGGTACTGTGGCAGAACTGCAATGAGGCAAAGGCGAGATTATTAAAGAAACGATGCTCAGGTAACTGGGTAACCATTTGACAGAAAACACAACAGGATCCATACCTCACATCCCACACTGGATATAGTCCAAATGGACCACAGATTTAAATGTTAAAATCAAACCATATATGTACTAGAAGACAAATGGAAGAATTTTTATCCTGTGTTCATCAACAGAGAATTGGTTCAATAAATTATATCAAATATATAAAATAGAATGAGGAAGCTCTTTATGTCCTTATATGAAACAGTCTCCAAGGTATGTTGATCAGCAAAAACAACAGAAAAAGAAAAGATCAGGATATATGTAGAATATAAGGAAACGATGATGGGGAAAGAATATTTATGCTTGCATATGAAAGGACAGACAAGGAACTAGCAACCCTGCTCCTTCCAAAGAGGGAAAATGTGTAACTAGAGGACTCTGATGAAAACGAGGCTTTTCCCTATATGCTCTTTTTTTCATCTTTCAGATTTTAAACGATGGTATTCTATTACCTAGTTGTAAAAATTATTTAAATATTTATATAAAGTACTTATATAGATACACTATATATAAATTTGCAAAAAGTCAGCTAAACATATGTTTCAGGGTTATAAAGTAATCGTGAGAAAATTCATGATAATGACTAAAAAGGAGATTAATGGAATATCCAGTTTTCATGAGATACCTCCTTTTAACAAAAATGTATGATTATTTTATTTTAGCAATGTCAAGAGGCCTCTGGCCTGAGAGGTTATGACTCAGACTTGAATTTGTTGTATTTCTCTGTGATTTTTTTAAACTCAGTAAAAGTTTTATTTGTGGTGTATACATTCACACGCAGTCATGTATACATACATCTGTATAGATAGCAACTACAACCAAAACAATGTTTTAGTTCAAGAAGGGCTTGCTTCCTGTAGGGCTTTATGAATCATGTAAACATCAATATTGTATGTTCTAGTGATAGTTCCACTACATTTTTTCAAAACTAACTGAAAAACCAGAAAGCTTATATGTATATTAGTGTCAGTGTAGAAATATTTATGTTTACAGTTTGACAATGCAAAAAGTTAAAGTGGATCAGAATAAATCTGTTTCAAAGTAGTTTTGTATTTTACTGCAAATGAAGAGTTTGAAAAAGGTATCAATTAAAAAGATGACTTTGGAATATTTCATTAAAAAATAAAAGGAATAAAAGGAATAAACGAAATCTACACTATTTACATCTATTGTATAGATTTTTAACTACTCAGAATATATATATACTTTATCAGTGTCAGTGCTTCAAAGAGTTACAGCAAATAATTTTGTTATATACTTGTATGGTCATTGTCCATTCATTTAGTCTACTAAGTTTTCCATATACTTTAATTACTTATCTTTGACAAATGAAAAATGAACACATACAATTCATACCATTTACAGTTATAGTTTCAGATAACTTTCAGTTACTGGAGGTTATTAAAATTATCTACAAAAATGAAATAGGAAGCAAAAGTATTTAGGATATGTGTAGAATAAAAACTGTAAACAGTAGCATCATAATATTAAACTAGTCTTAGTTCTGAAAAACAGTAACAATAGACAAATTAGCTTTAAGGAATTAGCATTTAAAATGAATAATGACTTCAAATCAGTGTCCCCCTGCAATAAAAATAGGTACTGGAGTATCAACTTGAGCTCTACACCAGATTAAGTCAAATACATTTATCATGTATTCATATGAATTCATATGCAGATATTTCTGTTCTCTGATATCCTCTACTATAGATTCAACACACCGAGTAAAAATAAGCTCTTATGGAGTGAATAAAAGAATGATTAAATAAATGAATACCACCACATTCTAAAAGTGAGATTTTCCACCTTTGTGTATATATGTATTAAAGAAAAAAAAATTTCTAAAAATCAAGGCAAATTTCTATAGCATATATGGCTGTCTTTTAGAAAAATGGGATTATCTTTGGACTGACTTGGTCTAACTCTATTCTTAGATTCAAAAGCAGTAGCACCACAACCACCACCCCACCTTCACTCCCCCTGGCACACACACACCCAAGAATATTTTCCCTTGGGAAAATAGCCAGCTTGTGCTGTTCACTTTGAAGTTCAGACCACACAATAACTTACTCTTCTTTCAGACTAGGTTGCTCCTTCTCTACCAGGTGCTATATTATCAGGATCATATAGACATTTAGTCAAAATGAAGACATCATCTACATAGGGAATGGGAGAAACAGACCTACAGGGGAATTTTATTAAAATCTAAAATAGCTTTTCTAATTCCAAGTAAAACTTGGTATTTTTGTAAAAACGTTTAAAGCCTTAAAGAGTGTTATTTGGCTCAGTAAATGTTTATGTTTATATAGAAAACTATGGAAATTTCAGGGTTCTTTCATAATCAGTGAATATTAGAAGAATAAACTGATATCTCACTAAAAAAAACTTTCTGATTTCCAGTTGCAGTTATTGTCAAAAACTTAATATCTAGTATTTGCAGCATTTCAAATGTCTAATCTGGATTATAAAATCTTTAAGAACAGCATTATGTCTTCAGCTATATCTTCTAAGCCTTCTATTTCTTTTAGTATACTATAATATATACACCTTGCAGGTACTCAACAAATACTTGATTCACTGTTATTTAAAGGGATTATCTCTTCCTTTAGAGATATAAAGTGCAAATCAACAAACCAATGAAAAAAGTATAAAGAAATTACAAAAGAACAGAGGCAAAGTAGAAACAAGGAGAAACAAAAGTTTGGTAAATTGAATAGATTAAGAAAGTTGTTAATTAACATTTTAAAAAGGAAAAACAAATTAATAAGGAATAAAGGGAGAGCATCGCATACATAAAGAAAACAAGAATGCCCTAGTTTTGTCATTATTCAAGTTGGAGTATAAAACAGTTATTTGACATAATGTCTAAGAAATATTATAGCTCTCTTCTGATTCCATCTAATTCACATGTGGTGATGTGAACGAATAAGCAGTAAGTCCTTGTGTAGATAAAAATTTGATAGACTGTGATGCCATAGGACAAATATTATTTTAAGATGTTCCACTCAGCAATTCAGCCAACACATTTTACTAACAAGAAGTGAGGGACAGGGAATGATTATAAAATCTTGCCGGGTAGGATTTGATACTGAGTTTGTTTGATCCTGGGCATTCTTTTTTTACCTTTCTGTAAGTTATTGCTGTTTGTAGGTTTGGGAAGCAAGAAAAATAGAATTAGCTGATTCTCTGGGAGTTAGCTAGATACACTGAGCTCAAGGAAGCTTCCTTCTTAATCACTTTCTTGGGTCAGGTCCCCTGTTGACCGTTCTCCCATTAAAGTTCTTATTGCTCTGTAGATAATTGCCAAAGTTCTTGAATATCTTTCCAACCAAACTTTAATGTCCTCTAGGAAAGGACAACACATTGCCTGACACATGGTGGGCACTCAGTATTTATTGACTAAATCAATGTTTTCTACCTAAAAATTACAAGATAAAACTGAGTAATAAGTAGGGCCTAATCAACTTAGTAAATGAAGAAGACAAATGAAATCTAATGCTTTCATGTGCATGTTTAAGTATTACACCATGAGACAAAACCTTTCTTCAACAATGCTTGTATAGCAGTCCACTTTCAAACATAACTGGAACATGTCACTACCCACATTTCTCAAAAAAACAAATCTACAGAGAAACTCCTAATGTTCTAAGACCTAAATATTACCATTTTTAAAAATGTTTTCATTTAAGAAGAAGAAAGCATCTGAAACTACTAAGTTCTATTTTCTTACATTCCTATCACTTAAAAACAGCTGAACTAATTTTTCCCTTTTTAAAAAAATTTACTGGCTAGTAATGAAATGCTGAAAAAAACATAAAATGTTGAAAATAGAGACTCATGATGGAAAACTGACTCAAACTAAACCACAGCAAGGCTATAATAAAAATATGATGTTTAGATTCTAGCTACTTAATTTGGCTCACAATTTAAAAAAACAGTATTTTTTAAATTAAATGTATTACAAATTGTACTCACTTCAAAGCTTCCTCAAATTTATGGATTTTCCTTTGAGTATCTTCTTTTTCTTTATCAAGTTCACTCTGCAAGTCATGAACCTGCCATGACAAGACATGTAATACTTACTAGAAGATAAGTAACGTTTATTCAAAAGAGAAATATAAACAGTGAAACAGCAATCTTAGGTCATTTTAATATAAAATTAGATATACATATTTCAAGACAGAAACTCAGTTAACCACCATCATTTTACCATATAGTTATTTCAATACTATACTTCCAATACCAATTCTCTGGTCAAAGTTAATAACTATTTGAATCTACTTGCCTGTGGCTTCCCTGTAAAATAAACTGATAAGCAAAAAACTCAAAAAGGGACCAATCACTTTGAATTTTTTTAAAAAATTACGTATTAGTAAAAAAACAGACATCTCATGAGATTTGGGAAAATACAATAAAAACATGTCTATATTCCGCGAACACATGCAGGTTATGATGACATAGTCGTCTCTTCCACTGTTGGGAATGATTAGTATAAACATTTTCTGAGTTCGGAAGGAACCCCTGCCCCCACCGTGAGTATCTGTTTCCGGAACTAAATGTGGCATCCTTTGAGTAGGTGGGATTGCAGCATGAATAATAATAACAAATAAAAATTTTGCTTCACAGAAAACTCTTCATATGCAAATGCATTTTAGCATACCCAATGTGGACATTATATGGGTCTAAAGATAGGATAAGGAAACTGGTACCGCTGGAGGGAAAGAGGAGTAAAACAGCGCCATGGTTCCCCACGCATGGCAACTGAGGGTGAAGCACCAACTGGTAGGTAAGAAAACTCAAGTCACTCCAGTGGGTGGGGATACCAGCTACACATCTGCTGGCAACCCAGGTGAGGCTGAAAGTGCAACTGTTGGGTATGGGGGATGGGACAGAAATGAAAAGAACAAACCCAACAACACACACACACACACACACACACACACACACTCACAAGTAATCACAAACCTTTTCAAACATTGAATTGGTACAAGCCAAAAATACCTGTATAGTTAGCTCTTTATACGAGTTTGGATGGAGACCTAGTTAACTCAGAAACCCTGTATTCTTTGACCTTTTCCTTTTATAATTCTTTTGTATTTTTCCCCTTGGTGTTTTAATAAAATAAAAATATTAATACAACTTGGATAGATAGATAGATAGATAGATAGATAGATAGATAGATAGATAGATAGATAGATAGATAAATGAAATGTCTGTATGTAAACTGCAAGGAGCGAAGGTAGAGAGGAAATTGCCCATGAGTCTATCAAAAGGTTTCTGGCTGATACGATGGCAATCACCAAGGTGAGAAAAACTGAGTAACAAAGAGGAATATGCAGGATGGTGGGGAGGGTGGGCTATCAGGAGAGTTAGGAGACAGGGGCCCCTCTCCCATATTTAAACAGTAAAATATGCCTCATCAACACCCGCCGTATTAGGAATAGAAATAGCAACTGATTTGTCTTACAAGTTTTTGCCACAACGTTTACTTTACATGGGGGAAAATTTATTGTCCAAATTTTACCAGGTTCAAGACTGAAATTACAGTCTTACTTATCTTGGATCCCTGGTGTGTATTACAGTGCTTGGCACATAGTGGGTGTGCTAATTTGGAGCAAATACATTATGAAGCAACTGAAGCACCATCCCAACTGAGCTGGCCTCTCTGATGTACAGAATTAGTCTCAAAATTAAATTCGGTGATGACCTGATAGAACCTGTTTTTATATCAGTAAAATCCTTTCTTGAAATAAAATAATAAAATAAAATATAAAAGGGAAAACTCAAACACCAATTTAAATAAAGACACAAAGAAAAGCAAATCTATCTGAGTGGAAGGTGGGGGGACGACAGTGATGAAGAAAGTGAAGGGGAGAAACTAGCACCAGCGCAGTCAGTGTCTCCACTGTGACTTCCCATTGGTGTCACTTACACCAATTTACCTAGGCTTTTGCTTTCATCTTTCTCTGTTAATTCATTTTAAGTCTCTAGTAAATATCACACCAATTTGGCTTTTGACCCAAATTATACATTTTCTTTTTTAATAGGGGAGATTATTTGATTTGTTATATCTAAAGTATTTTTATTTCTGCAGTTTTTCTTTATGCTTCCTAGTTTTTCATGTGGCTTTTTTTGTTGTTCCAAAGTCCTCCATATTCTGACTGACAGAGAGAGACACACAGTTTTTTATTTCACCAGTGAGGCTATAAAGATTTCACAGTTGTTTTTAACCTATGTTTCTCTAATATTTAGCAAGTGAAATTTTAACTTCTGTATTCTATCTTTTAAAATAATAGCTTAGCACATGTTTACTTCCCCTTCTATCCATTTTGATTTTCTTTTAAAGAATCTGGGAATGTTAATCCATGCAGTTGCTTTTAATAGTTTTAACTTTACATCCCTTCTCTAAGAATTTTTTTCTGATGTGTGCATCGTTTTGTATCACGTGCACAATAAACATCTACAGTCATCGCTATTTTAGTTGATTTTGGCATTCACCACTTCTCCTTCATTATTCTTGGGTATTTTTGTTGTTTTGTTTTGATTTGATTTTTTGCTTATCCTTAGTTTTACTGAAGTATATATCATCCAGTAGTTTTATTTTCAAAAAGACTGTCTGAGCGATACATCCCTGAAGCTTTGCATATCCAAGAATGTCATTCTGCTGCCTTCACACACAAGGGAAAGTGTGTGTATATAATTCTTGAGTCATAACATTTGGCCTAAAAACAGACCATCTGTGACTATTGTTTTATGACATTCAGAGCTGAACTATGAAGACTAAAGTCATCTCTGACTTTTGCTTTCCCCTCAGCCTGGCCTGGATAAGACCATTTTCTTTGTATTGCAATTCAAATGTGTTTTTAAATCTCTTTTTATTGATTCTTACCTGATACAGGGTGGATCTTCTAAAATTTGCACACACAAACCTTCAGAAAAGTTTTCTCCTATCTTTTAATTATTTTTACGTTAATTTATTCTGAGTCCCCGCTTCAGGAATATCAATTGTTGCACACTGGTTTTCTATTTTCTGTCTTAATATCTATTGGGTTGTCAGAAAAGTTATGACGCATTTTGTCTATGTTTTTCGTTGCAAAAATGCATCATGACTTCTCCGACAACCAAATATCTCCTCAAATTTTCTTTTTTTTATTCTTTGCCCTTTTCTTTTGCAGTCCAAAAGGTAACGGTTTGTCCTTTATATCATGATTTAATTTTTTTATTATTTTTTTAAATTTTATTGGGCAATAGCCACAGTCATTGGTTACACACTGCTTTCATGCTACAATGGCATAGTTGACTCTTTTAGGGAGGGTACAGCTCACAGTGGCCCATGCGGGGATTGAACTGGCAACCTTGGTGTTGTTAGCACCACACTCTAACCAAGTGAGCTAACCAGTCACCCCATGGATTGAATTCTTTATCTGATTTAATTCTTTACATCTGTTCGACTCCTAGCCAGCTTCTACATGGATTTTAAATCTGCTATCGCGTTTTAGGTTCCTTATAAGCCTTCCTATGACAATTACCTTCAGTTTCACTGTATCCTTTTCTTTCCTTATGGTATCTGTTCCTCTTTCATAGACGTGCTATTTTCTGGTATGCGACTGATGAGCTTCTTGATGTTTTCTTTTGGAATAATACGTTTTCAGAAGGAACTCCCTTTTTGGGGTCTTCTCTATAATGCTCTCATTCCTTTGCACTTCATCATTTTTCCACAGACCCCAGTGTGCCTTTTTTCTCCTGCTCACTCTTGAAGCGTGTATTATCTGTTCGGATTTGGTGTTTGACAAAAGATCCAGGGGGCATAACCTTGCTTCTATTACATGTCTTCCAGTGTGGTCTCCCCCTCAGAGCTGCTGCTAAAATTCAGTTCCCAGGAAATCCCCAGGAGGGTTTGGGGATTTCTACTGAGGAGGCGTTTTTCTCCACACCCCACAGCCTACTTCTCTGGTCGTCTGAAACAATACAGTATGTACATGGAAAACTAACAAGAAGCCACTATCAGAGTTACTGATGAGTCAACAGTATTTTACATACTGGGACTGTGCCTCCAATGTGCTGTGCTACCAGGGGTTTCCCCTGTATTTCCTGCTCAATTTTCTTTCTGGGACTCACAACTCTCTGCATGAAAGCGTATTTGAGATTTACCCCCTTTAACTAAAAACTTCAAAAAAGTTAGCCATTTTTGAGAAAAATCTACCCAAAATTACATGGTGATTATGAGTGTAAGCTGGAGTCAGACTGCAGGGGTTTGTATCCCTACTCTTTCACTCAATGCCTCAGCTGCCTCCTCCAAAAAATGGGAATAAGAGTGAGCATATAAAAAAACTGGGGCTGAGTTAATAACTTACTCCATGTAAAGCTCTTAGAATAATATTGGTAACATAATAAATGCTCAACAGCTGTTAAAAAATACTAATATCATCAGTACCTTCTTACAGTAAATACTCTATTCACAAACATTTTCTTGAAAACTTAATGTCATTATGACCATCCAAAATCACAGTATGCCACCGTACAGTAATTCCCTTAGATGGACTGTTTTTCCTTCCAGAAAATGGCCCCTGAATTGCTAAAAATGTTGAGTTTCGCTAAGTGCTATGTACCACTCATGATTCACTCTTAACCTCTGTCAAGGTTTCAGCTGCCACTTCCCGATGCCTGGTCAGTGTGCTAACTCAAGCACCTCGATCTAATTTATGCTTCTAGAACTGTCAGAACCATTTCTAACACAGTGATGGGGCTGAGTGGGGGATAGGCTTCCTCTGAGTGGCACCTGCATGTGTCAATGCACAGGCTTTGGAGCTGGGGGGTCCCTTAAAGCTAGAGGAAGTTTCTCATTTATGTTTATGCCCCCAACACCCAGCACAGCACCTGACCACACTAGCACAGTCAGTAAATGCTGTTCTGGGTTTATTTGTTTGTTTGTTTGTTCTTAATTGAATATATTTGTAGTGTATGCTTAAGGGCCTTTGGATTATATTTCTAGTTTTTACCTATAATTCAGATAGTTGTGGGTAAAAGAAATAATGCTATTGTCAACCTTTCCTTTTTAACGTACTAATAGCAGTGGGGAATGAGGCTTGAACTAATTTTCTTTCCCCACTATTTACTGTTAATACCAACAATAAATTTTAATAATTTAAATAATAAAATAATGGGAAAAAACCAGAGAGTCAAAGGTGAGTTTTAAATTGAAGATTCAAGTAGCCATAAGCACAGTCACTGAACATTTACTAAATGCATATTTTACTCCCTTTCATCCTAAGAATTTAAGTAATCAAGAAAGGAGTACCTGTATGAATAAGAAAGGGATTCTGCGATATATAAGGAAATAACGGTGGCAGACATCACAGTGGTGCAAAGAGCACTAAGTTGCTGATGTCCCACAACTGGCTGGATAACTCCACTCCATCTCTTAAGTGCTCTGACCTTGACTTCCCAGGGTGAACAAATGGGGGACCCGGATGCAGGACTTGTACAAATCATTTATTTCACTGCACAAATTCAGTTTTTAAAACTTCACCCAAGGCATGTGTCCTCTTAAAGAAAAATCACACCAGGGCCGGCCGAGTGGCACGATGGTTAAGAACTGGCTTGGTACGCCAGAGGGCCCCGGTTCGGATCCCACATATGAGGGCCAGTGACACTGCCCTCTACAGCTAAGATGATGAACAACAGCTCAACCTGGAGCTGGGCTGCCGTGAGTCGCCGGCGACTGTGGAGGCTGCAGCCCCTGTGGCAGTGGGTTGCCATGGGCTACCGCGTGTAGCCAGCAGCCAGCGTGAGCGGCTAGCAGCTGCAGTGAGCGGCCATCCAGAAGCCGGCGACAATCTGCCTCGCCCAGGAAGAGCGCAATGATGGTGCCAACGTGGGCCAGTGAAGCAACATCCTCCACAACTAGAGTGAAGAACAAGACGACAGCAACTTGTCTGTTCCCCTTCCTCCAATTCCCCAGCACTGTTCCCATCCCCCAACTCCCCAATAAAAATCTTTAAAAAAAAGAAAATCACACCAGTAGTAGTTGGAAAACACTATATCCAAATAGTGTTTGGATATATGTAAAGCTGTAGAAATTTTAAATTGTTTTTAACCTAATTAAAAGAAGTATATATGAATACTAGACACTGGAATAATTCTTTTCAGTGGTTTTGAACTCCATCACACTTTATATCTCATTTTTTACAGTTGCATCAGAATTATTATAAGTGGATATTTCAATTCTAGCACATTTTGTGAATATACATGCTTAACATCTGTCTCATGAACTTCTTGAGGTAAACACCACCATCTTTGAGTCTCTGCTGCCTGTTTGGAAAACAAGCAACAGGTTATATTTGTAGGAGGCAGGTGTTTCCTTGCTAGTAAAATCATTTAGCCTAACCATTTCCTGATTTAACAGATTAGGACACTTCATCAAACAATGACATTTAGTCTTACTACCTATTATGTGTTTGATGTTCAGAGATCTTAAGAGCAGGCAATAGCCACTGGAGATCAATAAAGACCATTAGATAATGTGTGTGCTTAAATTAGGACAGCATCTGATGCTGCTTCTCTTACCTCAAAGGCAAGTTAGGCCCTCTCATGCTGCTTGCCTAGTGGCATGAGGAAATAATGTCATTCGGATGGCATTTCCTCCTCCTGACCAGATAGATATTCAGGACTAAGTTTTATACCGAAAGTTACTGCATGTGTACACCTGTAACGCTAACAAACAAAAGCTCACACATCCCATTTCATTATCCAGTTACACAGTCCAGGGCTACAGGAGATTTATGTCTGCTCTCGGAGCAGTCACAAAGGATATTCCCTGAGGGGGGTACAAAACATCAACTCTTCGAGGACTAAGATCACAGCAGGTTTAATCAAAAAAGAAGAACAGATGTCAATTTAAAAAGGGGGGAGGGATTATGGGATTAATTGTGAAACAAAAAGGGACATGCTGAGCAATGTTTTCGTCCAATATAAATAATGTTGGAACACATGCAATACGAACAAATATGCTTATTTTTCTTTTAAAGGTTGCTATTATTTGAAACATGTCTTATTTACATTGAAAACAATCGACACACTTTAACTAGTTACATGACGAAAAAGCTAGGCCCATGGATACTGCATGGCAAGGGGAGAGCTGTAGTTATGACACCTCACAGAAAGGAGGTAGGTCTTCTCCCTGAGATGAAACAGAATAGGAATGGCTGGAAGGCTACTGAGTAAGGATGAACTGAGCTCTAGTATTCAGTGTCTTGTGTGTGTCCTCAGGCAGAAGGGCTGATGCAGACACCTTAGATCACCGAGTGGGTAAGATAGACAACAAGAAAAGGACAAAGACTGTCTTTCCAGCTCTATCATTGTATCTAACAGCCCTCAGCAGGACTTAAAGAAATTTGGGCTAAGAATACATTCTTTTAAAATTAGTTCGTGCATGCCTTTCCCCTTGCTACCAGCCCTCTCTGTCTCACGGGTACGCAGATACCATCTCTCTGGAAGAGGGCTGAGCTCGGAGTGGTAAGGCCAGGAGCAGGAGGCCAGGAAGGTGTTCCTTAATTGACGGGAAGCCAGATATCTGCCCAAAGAATGAACAATGGACTAAAAAGTGCACCCAGAGAATGTGGTGTTAACAGTGTGTCAATGAATCCCAGTTATTACTGATAACAGAGATTGCAGCTTATGTCAGTAGAAATATTCAATATTCTAAGTAACAAGAAACAATTATTAATCAATTTTTTAGTAGACAACTCTTTCATTGTTTTATATTCTTTGGTTAAATATTTAGAGTTCTTATTACACATATGATACAACGGAATACAAAATAACTTCCATCAATTGTATCATATTTTTAAACTGGTAGAAAGAATTTCATAGTGTTATTATAAGAGGTTAACATGTATACGCTTTGCTCATTAAATATAACATACTTATGTTTAATGTTAATATAATTAATAATAGAACTGAACAAGCTTTTCATAAATATAAAATTAAAAAAACAAAATTTGATTAGTGGTTAGCTTAAATAAACTTAGAAATAAATTATTCTTTAAAGGCATGTCTTTATAAAAATCAATCCTCATTCTTAACTGCCTCATTTGCTATTCAAAATGTCACAGATTCCCATTATTATATTACCTTTTTTTCATAGGTGCGTTTTAAATGACTTCTCTCAATTTGAAACTTATTTTCTTGATCCTGTGAATGATAAATATTTTTGTTATAAGTAAAACTGCTTTCAAGTCAATATATTAGCAATCGAATAAAATAAGTCAATCTACTTGACAACAGACTTTGAGTTTTGCATCCTAGTAAGAGCACCCAACCTGTCCAATTTTCTAAACTATAAATAGAAGCATGATTAGTTTTACGTTAGAGGCCGTAAATAAAACCTTACTTATCTGAATGTTACTGCTCTCAAGAGTACGTACTTTCAGTGGAAGAGAAACTTTCTGACCCTTAGAATTAGGAGGTTACTTAAGAATGACCAGCTGAATCAATATGGAAATTATGAATTTGCAGTTGTATCATATACCCGTCCCTGATACTTTTCAACCATGAGGGAAAAGGAGAGATCTAAAAGATGTAAAAGAGAGAGAGAGACATTATGAAGATTGGCAGATAATTTAAGGGAGAAAACTATTCTTAGAACCTACAGGGTACTATGCTAAGTGAAATAAGTCACAGAAAGACAAATACCATTTGATTTCACTTATATGCGGAATCTAAAAAACAAAACAAAACAACAAAACAAAACAGAAACAGGCTCAGAAATACAGGAAATAAACTGGTGGTTACCAGAGGGGGAAGAAGTTGGCAGGGGGGTGAAACAGATGAAGGGGATTATTAGGAGATACTACAAACTACTCCTTCTGGTTATAAAATAAATAAGTAATGGGGATGATATAATGTACAGCATAGGGAATATAGTAAATAATATTGTAATAGCTTTGTATGGTTAGCAACAGATGGTAACTAGACTTATCAGGGATCATTTCCTAATGTATATAAAGATCAAATCACTATCATGTACACCTGAATAGGATATTGTATCTCAATTATATGTCAAAAACTAAATTAATAAAAAATAAAAATAACGGGCCTGCCGAGTGGCTCAGTTGGTTAAGAGCTCGCTCAAGAGTTTGAGCTCTGAGCAACAGTGGTTCGAGTCCAGCCCGAGCTGAGCAGCCGCTGAGCTGCCAACAGGTAGCAGGATGGCTCAGCTAAAAAAACAAAACAAAACAAAACAAAAAACAATATATTGAAATAAGTTTTATTCTTTAAACTAATCTCAAAAAAGACATTACTCAAATTCAAATTATTGCTTATTCTCTATATCCCATCATCATCTACTTTCATTAAAAGAAGTAAAGTAAATATGATAAAAAATGATACAATGCAATAAAAGAATCAGAAATGGCTACTTCCATTTCTAAGGGTTTTTGTTTTTTTTTTACTCTTATTTGTACATATAAATCAAGAAAAGGAAAGGTGAGTTTTAGGCATTGTTCTTCTGTGTAAAAATATAAGACTCACCTTTAATTGTTGCTTTCTTTGCAGTTCTGATTTCTGTAATTGTTGTTTTAATTGAGAGAGATTCTGTTCTAATTCTTTCATCATACCAGATGCCTAAAAGGATATTAAGAATAATAATAAAAAACAGAATATTGAATTTTGTACCATCCTACAACTTCTGGTTGAATAAATTTATCTCTTTCCCCCCTTAAGTTTCAATCAAAATTAAAATGATCTGTAATCTGAATGAAAAAAATTGTTTTTAAAGTAAAAAAATTAATCTTTTAAAGTAAATATATAAGGTAAGTTCTGTATAATATTTAAAGTTATGTAAATATAATACTCATGTAAGAATAATAAGTTTACAGAAAACTTTTAAAATTTTAATTTTAAAACCAAATCCACTGGAACATGTATGTAATTCATGAAATATCACGTAATTGACTACCTTAGAATGTAGCTATAGGATTTTCTTTGCAGAAAATGTCAATCCTCCAATACAAAGTATGTGGGTACTAGTGGGGTGTCTATGGGTCATTTATGAGTATGTGATGACAGGAAAACTAAAACATAACCAAGATTTCAAAATAATAATAATAATAATAATGTATATAGTTACTCTAAAACTGAACCATTAACACAACTGAACATTTCTTTTCAGATATTTATGTTTCCTCCTTTAAAACCTGCGGTACTAAAAAGGGTTAACTTATAATTGCAGAATTCAGCTCATTAAATATTCATATTATGCTATACATCAGACATTTAACATTTTGAGTATTTTAAATACCAAAAAAGTGAGTTCAGTTATTTCAAGAATAAAGCAAAGGAAAGGCTAATTGCCAATGCCAAATATTAATAGCTTCTACATGGGTCTCCATGGCTATAAGCTCAGTAAAATAAATGACTAACTTGTATGGACGTATCTACCAGCGTATATAATACCTTAGAAGCTGAAAGAGTATGTTCCTGTTCCAGAAGGTTTATATCAGCATCATATTTGGTTTGTAATCGCTTCATGTTTTGCTCATAATCGTCTATAAGACGATCTTTCTCTTTCTGTAGTGTGTTGCACCTAAAAGCAGTAAGAGAATAAACTATATTTTCAGTACATTTAGAATCAATCCCCAGAATGGACTTTTTTAGTCAACCAAATCCAAATGCATTATCTTTCAATACATCAAATAAGTATCTACATTTTTATCAACTTTTTTTTAAAGCATTATACTTATTTTAAATGAAACTTAAACAATAAACAAATGGCAGTATTTAGGTTGGAAACCTCCGAAGGTTAATTAATGCACAAGGTGTGATTAATTTGGGCAGATAACGTTACAGAGTTAATATCAGTATTCTGTAGCCACACCTGAGAGATATCTGACTTCAGACAATACCTTGCCTTTACTTCTTGTAATTCACTACATGTTATCTGGTAACATCTCTCCAGTTCCAGTTTTTCTTGAATTAATTTCTGCTTCTGTAAATTACTGTTCTCTGCTTCTCCAGTCAGCTGTTGGACACGGGACTCCAGTTCTTTGACCATCTGGTTCTAAAAGAATGGGTCATGGTTAAAACAGCCTCTGACTGACTGTGTAACACTCAGTGTCATTAAGTAGCCTGAAAAAATATATGTACCCTATTAAAGATAAGAATATAAAAAGCAAATGTATTGTAAACCATACTAATAAAGATTAAACCAACCTCTAAATTAACCAAGTTTTTCTTGTTGTTTGTTTTCTTGTTTTAAAGAATGCTTTCTACCATAAAAGTTGGACCATCGTGTTCATACAGGGGTTAGGAAAATCTGGTGCCTAGAAGTCAGGAGTAGCTTGTAATGAGATGATGGAAGCAGAGAAATAGAGAGGTCCTGGCATTTGAAAAGGCCATACCTAACCACACACAAGTCAATTATCCCATAAATTATACTGAAAATACTCGCCAATAAATTAATGAACCAGTCATTGAGGAATCACTCACTGATCACCGGAAATATTCCGATGTCTCAAAATACACACAATTTTAATTTCCAAAAAGAGGAAGAAGGTAGACTTCACTGGACAAAGTTTGATGATCATAATTACCATGGTTCTCAAATGAATTGTTAAAAGCATTATTGGCAAGCCTGGTCAATTAGAATCGTCAAGAAAAGGTTAGGACAGATTAACCCAACTTAATTTACTTTGAGAGTGTAAACAAATTAGTAAGTAATGGGGATGAGAGGATAAAATGAATTTATATGAATTTATAAAAGGCATTTATTTTATAAAGTTTCCCTTGATGCCTCAGTGGACCAGACAGAGAAATCTAAACTGGAAGATCCTATCATTAAGGAATTAGTAACCAAGTCAACAAAAGTATAAGAAAGGATTAATGTAAGAGAGAGCTAGCAATAGGTTCAGTATGGAGATTAACACAGCCCAACTCTATAAAAATTTTTATTAGTTATATAAGTAAAGGAATTAATTTCAAAATTTTAAAAGAGATTCAAATAAATCAAAATCACAAGAGAATCTACTACAGAAAATATCTTGAATGTCAAAAACAATGGATATAACTTAGCAAATTAAATGAGAATATATGTAAAATTCTTCTGTACTTAAACACCCACAACTTCATGGACAACCAACGTATTTCGATGAAGAAGATAACAGCCACCACAGAATTAGATCTAAGATCTCCCTGACCCCAAACCTACTTCACTTCATTCTATTGCCTCCAAGACTATGATCTGCTCATGGGATTAACATAGAATTTGCTCAAATACCTCAGGCAGACATATGATTTTGAAACAAGGTTTATATAAGAAAGCTAAAATGTAACACTGGAAGTACTTGAGGTCTCTTTCTTTGCCTCCCAAATTATTATTGTTGTTGGTAACCATACCCAACGTAGGATTTTTTTTAATTCTGTAATTGTTAGGTTGTAATGTTTCCTTGCTAGGATAATTTATGATAATAAAGGGCAGGATATTGAGAGTCTATTCATTTCTCAGGCCCTTTACTAAGAACACTCATTACAAGAGAAATGAGACTCATGAACATGATGTATAATCTGCTAGGGGAAGAGAGTTGCAGAAATAACCTATTACCACAAAATGTCTCCTAAATATCCTATTAAAATAAAGATGGCTCATTACCCAATGATTTCTTAAATATATACCATAATTAGCTTAAATTAAATCAGAAGTCATCAGTTTTAAAATATGAAGAAAAAAAAACTTTTAAGGCATCAGTTTTAAAATATAAAACTTGAATGCTCTAAAAATAAAATTTCAAACTCTCCCTCTCTCTCTCATTCTCCCTCTCTTTTTCTCTCTCTCTAATAGGTAGTAGCAATGTGACTGCGATAGTATATGATTACCTGAGGGTCCTGCATTTCAAACTGCAGTGAATAACTGATCAGTTCCTTGTTTTGTTTTTTTATAAAGTCAGCACTAAAATGCAGACTAACGATTAAACAATCTCATTCAACAAAATTTATATATAATCTTTCTCTCATATAAACAAATTAAACTGTCCATCCTGAATGTTATAACATGATTTTTCTAATTCAACAAGATTATTTTACCTTTTAATAACAATTCTTACTCTAGTATCATACAAGTATGAAGAGTAGAGTCCCAGTTACTTCATCAATAACAGAAATAAAAAGAATAGCCCCACTCCCCCAGTATGCAAAGCTGGTTCAACATCTGAAAATCAATTAACATAAAACATCACATCCACAGGCCTCTGCATTCAGATCTATATTTATCAAATACTTTTCTATGTCTGATACAACTTTCTGATTCAAGAAGCAAATATGATGACATTATTCTTTTTATTATTTACTTATTTTTATTATTTATTTTTAAAGTATTTTCTTAACCCTTGTTGTGTTTTACACAAAATAAAGTAAGCACAAAGCGTACAAAAGTAATGTATAAAACTGAAAACAGGGCCGGCCGAGTGGCGCGATGGTTAAGAACTGGGTTGGGACGCCAGAGGGCTCCGGTTCGGATCCCACGTATGAGGGCCAGTGACACTGCCCTCCACAGCTAAGATGATGAACAACAGCTCAACCTGGAGCTGGGCTGCCGTGGGTTGCCGGCGACGGCGTAGGCTGCAGCCCCTGTAGCAGTGGGTTGCCATGGGCTACCGTGTGTAGCCAGCAGCCAGCGTGAGCGGCCAGCAGCCGCAGTGAGCGGCCGTCCAGAANAGCCAGCGTGAGCGGCCAGCAGCCGCAGTGAGCGGCCGTCCAGAAGCCGGCGACTGATCTGCCTTGCCCGGGAAGCGCGCAATGATGGTGCCAACTTGGGCCAGTGAAGCAACGTCCTCCACAACTAGACTGAAGAACAAAACCACAGCAACTTGTCTGTTCCCCTTCCCCCAATTCCCCAGCACTGTTCCCATCCCCCCAATTCCCCAATAAAAAAAAAATCTTTAAAAAACAAAAAACAAAAAAAAACCTGAAAACAACAAAGGAACAAGACAAACAAATGAAGAAACAAAAACTCATAGACACAGACAATAGTTTAGTGGTTACCAGACGGTAAAGGGGGTGGGGGGTGGTAGAAGAAGTTAAAGGGGGTCAAATATATGGTGATGGAAGGAGAACTGACTCAGGGTGGTAAGCACACAATGTGATATATAGATGATGTATTACAGAATTGTACACTTGAAACCTATGTAACTTTACTAACCATTGCCACCCCAGTGAACTGTCAATTTCAAATAAAAGCAAAATAAATAAAAAAAAGAAATTTAAAACTTATAACGTCAAAGGAAAACCTAAAAACACAGGCGTGTACAAATACCTTAAGGACAACAATAATATTTGCCAAAATAATCTTTTTTAAATGGAATGCAATGAACTGACAAGATACAAAATAGTGGAGGCCTCAAAATGAGGTAAAAAACTATTCAGGAAAAAAAGATGCTGATACAGAATGTTATTTTCAGGCGATAACAGACAGTGTAGAATAAGGGTTCAGGGATATGTGACAACAGGATCAAGGAAGGAGCAAGTAACAGTACAGTTTATGACAAACAGGTTACCTTGGGCGCAGAGACAGTTCCCCCACATTGTGAACTCAGGGGTAGCACTCGGAAGACGAGATTGGAGTTCTTGAGGGGACATGGGTTGTAAGGAGTATTTAGAATAGGCATTGGATTAATAATTCAAGTTCTCGATCAGGGGAAATAGGACAAATTGCATTTGTGAGAGACGGAACAAGGGGAGACAGGAAGAGCAACTGGAAGGTTATTGGAAGAGTCCCAGAATGAGGCAACAATGGCCTGAAAACAAGTGGTAGCTGTGGAAACAGAAGGGAGGAGAGCGGATCCAAGAACATTTTCAGAGAAGTAAAGAGGAGGAGTAAGTCAAATACTAAATGAAGGAGGTGAGAAGGGGCAAAAGTCATAATAAATCTTCTAGGTTCTAAATCTAATACGACAAGAGAATTGGCACACTGGGAATTAAGAGAAAGTTTAATCCAGGGTTTTATTGTGGTAGGAAATATAGACATGCTTTTCAGCAAGTAACATATTAGGAAACTTTAAACTATGCAATGGGCCTTCCATTATACAACCAATACAAAGAATGAGAAACGTAGGAGTTTTACATACAAACTTTGTTTGAAATTCTGTAGGACTCAAAAATTAGGAAGAGTGAGTATTCAGCAACTATTTAGAGTTCAAATTTCAACCCCTATGGCAAAAGGAACAATGTATTTTATTTCATAAACTTCTTGAAATATGACATATATACAAAAAGATGCACAAATCTAAGGTATATATTCTGATAATTTTTTTACAAATTGAAAACACCCACAAGTCACTATAATCTGTAAACATTACCAGCTGCTCTGCAATCATCCTTTACACAAAGGTAGCCACTACTGAGACTTCTATCACAAAAAATTAACTTTGCTTTTGTTGAATTTTCTATAAATGAAATCACAGATTATCTACTCTTTGGGGTCCACTGTTGTCATGAATATTATATGTCTGTAAGATTCATCCATGCCATGGCATCTAACAGTTTAAACTTCTTCAAGGCTACATACAGTATTCTATTGTGCAAATATACCTAAAATAATTTATCCATTTTATTGATGGCTTGTTTTCCATATTTAGATGTTAAAAATGTTGCTACGAACACTTTAATACATGTTTTATGATACATACATGCACTTATTTCTCTTGTGAAACTGTTAAATCGTGACTGATTTGAAAACTATGTCCATGCAAACTTGCAAATGAATGTTTATAACAACTTTATTTATAATTGCAAAAGCTAGACACAATCAAGATGTACTTCTTCGGTAGGTAAATGGATAAACTATGGCACATCTATATAATTGAATGTTATTCAGCAATAAAAAAAAAATGAGTCAGGGGCCGGCCGAGTGGCTCAGTTGGTTAAGAGCTCGCTCAAGAGTTTGAGCTCTGAGCAACAGCAGTTCGAGTCCCAGCCCAAGCTGAGCAGCCACTGAGCTGCCAACAGGTGGCAGGATGGCTCAGCTAAAAAAAATAATAATAAAAAAAAATGAGTCAGCAAGCCATAGAA